CATAACTTTGGAGGTACCTGAATTCCTTGGCAACTTCACTACTTGGGTTGAAAAGTCCTCCTGGAGTCTTGTGTTCTGCTTAAACACTGTTTTTTCCAACCAGCAAAACCTTGCTTCTGAAGACAGCAATCTAGCTTCTGAATCTCAACTGAATTTAGGCAAAAAAATAACAGTTCATGCCTTCAAAAAACTGTGCAGTATTTTCACAACTGCTCTTTCCTGAAAATGTAAGGAGAACTATTGTCATAACATACTTGCTAAAATGCCCCATTTGCCAAAGCTAATGCGATTTATAGCAGGCTTTCCCAGCCACCAAGCAATTGCTTTACACCACAAATCTCACTACATCGCACTAGACACAAAGCAGAACTGCCAGCACTGACTCCTCTTCTAAGTATCCCCCCCAATAAGTCCTTACAATTTAGAGCAGAACTGCAGATACAGGGTAGGAGCCTGACATTGTCACACAACTTTCTGCTTGAGATTTGTGACTGAGAACAGCTTCAATTCTCTAAGTCCTTTCATTAAACACGAATGGTTTCATTAAACAAAATGTTTCCCCTGAACATTCTCATTCCCACCATTCTTACAACATAGAGTAGGTCATATTCAACATTTTTATCTTGGTCTTATCTATTTATGATTTAAAATATTGTTCAGTCTTGTAAACAGTTTTTACTAGAGAATTATCACTCATTATCAACATTAAATAATATAATTTCATTTATTACCTGTTGTTTCTCCTGTTTTTGCTAGCTATAAAGAATAAACAATTAAAATTATATCTTTTCAACAGTGTTTTGAGCAGTGAATATCAGAATGGAAAAAGTACCTTTTAAAGCAGATAAACGAGTGAAGCTCTGTTCAGTCCTCCATTTATTTTTTGCTAAGGTATGATCTATAGATTGCTTATTGTAACCAGGCAAAAACTTCAATGTTGTTAAGAGAAATTGCAAGAGTTATTCAATTCAGAACAACACTGAAGCAAAACCTGCTGGTACAATTCCTTGCCGATACATTCCATTTCCATGCCCGGTGTTCCTTAATATCAGCAACAGCTGCCACACCTACCGGAAAAACAAGTTTTCCTTCTCTTGGGTAAAGCACAGTTGCCTCCCATTAACTTATAAATTACAAACTTGAGTGTGGGGCTGTTGAAGCAAATCAAACCTAAGCACTCGGGGGACTTTTTTTCAGGCTACTTAATCTCCTTCTGGAATTGAATGCTGCTTGTTGACATAGCCACAGTTCACACGCATACTTCAAGAGAACTAGAAAAATGTACTATATATCGGTGCTTCTTGGGCAACCATTTCTTTAGCAACATACTATAGGCCTAATTAAAATAGGTAGATACAGATGAGTAAGTATGAGAGATATCTGAAACAACAGAACATTCCAGAAGCAGAAGGAGCAAAATACAGAACTCAAGACACACCAGGACACAGAATCTTAAAGAAGTATGTAATTATTTGAGTGAAATCAACGGTTTTCCCAGCATGTGACCCATGAATTCTGTCCCTTGAAATTAACAGCACAGATGTGTAGCCAGATATAAAGTCAGATTAATTAGGAACATTACATTTGTGTTTCCTCACTACAGAGAGTACTTGGAAGTTTTAACTTCAAAAAATACGTTTCCAGCATCTTTAGAAGGGTTTATTTTATAATGAGAATAACAACAATAATTCATTCTGGTTTTGTGTCTTTTAATCCCAATTACTATTCAGACAGAACATGATCTAAATTACAGAGCTTTGCTTTAATACTGAATTTAGCTAATGGCATCAATGGCTACCTGGCACCAGTTTGTTCTTTTTCAGTATCCCCTTTAACAGTAAAGAGCCTTTCTTCCTCCCTAGTGCATTTACGGACTGCAGTCAGATCACCTCCTACTTTTCCATTAAATGAGACAGCAGTTCTAATACCACTTCCTAAGAACCACTCTTTGCACAGCTGCTTCTGTGCTGTTGGCCTGGTTTCAATTAAGCTCTATCACAGGAGACCAGAAATCTCTGTTCCTCATCCATTTGTATGTGACAGCCACAAGCCCTTACCATTGCTGGAAACATTATTTCTCAACACATGCTAGGATTATATTTTTTGCAGATGCATCACACTGCACAGATAGATGGAATCTTGTCATCAGCCAAGGATTAACACATCTAGCCAGTCTTTCAGCCAGCTGCAGTTACACAATGTGTTTTCTTCATTGGCAAGGTCATACTAATGAAGATCTCTTGCCCCAGTTAGAATCACAGCGTCACAGAATGGTTTGGGTTGGACAGGACCTTTGAAGATCACCTAGTTCCAGCCCCTGCTGTGGGCAGGGACACCTTTCTGTAGATCAGGTTGCTCAAATTAATCACACTTCTCATTTCTTTTGCCACAGTCCTTCTAAAGCCTACTTCAAAACCTTGTGTGTGCCCAAGACTGTACTTACAAACTTGTATATATCTAAACAATGGGTTTTCCCCTCCCTAAACCAAGGAACCACTCACCCTTTCTTTTGCCACATTGCACCAGTACGCTCATGAACGTTTATTAAACACCCACTATAGGTTCTTTAATAGCTTGTGTGTCTTAGAATTTTGGAACTGAAATTATTCAGTATCACCTTCCAATTGGAATATTGATTTTACCTCTGCTGTACAACTTTTGTTTTCATACTTTTGTTTTCATCATCTTTCCTTAACCATCCACAATTAGAACTGTCCTTAAGAAAAGGTGGAACAAGGTGCTAATTTAGCTCAAGAGCCACTCCAAGGTCTAATCTCCCTCACATGCTCTCTGCATTGTGGCCTTCCTTTGTCCTTTGCTTTCTTTGCACTGAGACAGCTGTAGACCTTCTCCGCTGCTCATTTCAGTATCTTTGCAATGCCTACATTGAGTTTGACTTTTTGTAATTCTCAGCTTACTACTTTATCTCCCTTCCTGGGGTGAGGGTAAGAGGATGTGACTGTGAAGTTTCAGTCCCTGATATCTAGTATTAGATTCAGCAGTATACAAAGAAGAAACAGCCTAATCCTTGGTTTATCCAGGGCCTAACTAAAAAGTCACCATTAACAAATAGCCTTATTAATTTCTTATTTTTGGAAACAAGTTATTCTCTATCCTCTGGTTTATGTTTTCTCACCAGAAGTAACAAACTGGTACCTAAATAAGAAATTCCAAAGACTAACACCCATTTACCATCTTTATCTAGATTGTCTGTTGCTAATCTTTTGAAAGCTAATCTTTTTTTCAGGAGCACTCTTTGAAACACCAGTGTCCTTCCTCTCTCATACAACCCAAAGTCAGACACTATTAAGCTAAGTGCAGTATTATCCCACTATTCCTAAAATATTGCTCTAAAAAAGTTGAAGCTGACCCCTTCTATTCTAAACACAAGAAAGGAAGCCGGACACTGTTGCCATCTACTTAATTTGTGCCATTGGAACTGACAAACCACACATTTTCCTGTACAGTCATAAATTTCTCCACTATAATCTGCTGTACATCCCTAAGGCAAGTTTCTGCTATTGTAAACAATCAGACATTGTGTCCTTTGAGGAGCAACCACTCAGGCATGATGTTTAAGATTGTTCTTTCAGCTGTGTGTTTTTCACATTGCACTTGTTTTAGCTGGGCCACAGTTAATCTTTGTACCAGGTTGTAAGGGGCTGTGGTTTACATTTGCGACTAAATTTTGAACACACTGATGATTGAGCTGAGGTTGAACAGTGCTTACACCATCAAGGCCACCCCTGTTTCTCATGCTGCTTCCTCCTCCCTTTCCCAGGCATAAGGCAGCACAAGTCTGCAGGGGACACAGCCAGGACTGCTGAACCAGCCTAACTAAAGGCCTGTTCCAGATGGTGTGGCAGTAGTTAAAGCTGGGGGAAGAAAGAGGAAGGGAGAGATATGCAGCACTATGGCATTTGTCTTCCCAAATCATTGTTCTGTGATAGAGCCCTGCTTTCCTGGAAATGGCTAAAACCCTACCGATGGGAAGCAGTAAACTCCTTATCTTGCTTTGCCTGTGCATGCAGCTTTGCTTTACCTCTTAAATAATGTCAACCCACAGCTTGTCTCACTTTTGCCCTTCCGACGTTCTTCCCCATCCTGCTGGGGGAGGAGGACGGAGGCAGTGAGCGAGCAGCTGTGTGGTGCTTCACTGCCTACAACATAGACTGAAACCGCTCTTGCGAGGAAGTACACATTCTTTAAATCTAAAATTAAACTCCAGGCTTGGAGGGTGAGACTTCAAAAACTTGTGTTGTGCAGTTACCGTACACCTTTAACTTACCGTTAAGCACCAGTACCCAAAAACAACGCTACAGCTGAGCACCATCTGATTTATTACTTCTTGAGTGGAAATAAGGTCCCGAGCCTCTTTTGCAAGCGATGCCGGTCACGGGATCCTGAGCAGGAGCCGCAGCCCGACACCCTCCGCTGTGCGACTGGACGGATGTGCCTCACATCCCGCTGCTCCCCGCGTCCTCCATCCTGCGGGATCGGCGCGGGGCTGGGGGGACACCGGGGCATCACTGCACACCAAGGCCCCCCCACCCCATGCTGTGCCAGCCCCGCTGACCCCTCGGCGCGGCTGCGCGGGGGCGGACAGACCCTGCGGGCCCCTCCCCTGCCGGGGCGGGGCTGCCGCTTGCGCAGCGAGGCACGGCGCGTACGGTGCGGGTCACCCGGCCCCGCAGCCCTGGTGCCGGTCGCTGTCACCGCTGTCGAGGGTCCCCCAATCAGTTTATGGGGGAGGCCCCGCGCAAAACCGAGCGCTGGAGCAACGGCGGCCGGTGCCGGGAGCGCCCCGGACCGCCCCGCATAGGATGAGCAGCGCAGGGAGCGCGAGTGCGCAGGGAGAGGCTGTGCCTCGGGGGAGGAGGAGGGCTCCGGTCACTTCGCCTCATTAACTTATGTGAAATGGAAAAGCTGAAGTGAGCTCCGGATGGAAATCACTTGTGAAAAAGCAAAGGAAAATTTGATAGTTGAAGGTGATAAACGCAGTCGTTGACACTGGTACTTTTACTTTTTAGAGACAGCAATTGGTAGTTGAATCATTCCTACAACAAAATACATTCATATGAGACCCTGTATGAGGATGGGATCTTCTCTGGTGGTGGCTTTATGTTACAGAGCTTTCTTCCTGCGAGTAATCGATCACCTTAAATGCACAGTGCATTTATTGTTGGAGAGAACATGGCATTAAATGCCTACTGCAACACCTTTAAATTTCATTGCTGCACTTAAAGTTGCAGCAACCCACCACAGTTAAGTTTCAGAGCCAAAGATGTTTTATCTCCAGAAGGATGTATCCCTGCTAGGACACATGTCACTGATGGAACAACAATGTTATCAGGCCGTTCCCAACCATGTGCAAGTGTCTCCCCAAAACTGGCCTGAAAAGTAGTGGGCTGAGGCCTCAACCATCCTTGAATGATTTTTTCAGTTTTGAAAATCTCTTCCCTGGATACCTTGATTCGGTTCACAAATCAAAAGCATTTACCTTTGTATAGTATGTAGCAGGGATGTTCTCCTAAACCTCTGTGAGATCTAAACTTCACGTGGAAGTGAATTTCATTTTATGATTTTCAAATGATCTCCTCTGCCTCCCCACAACACTTTGCGTTCCCTCCTTATGACTGAGGTTTCACTTTTGAGCTTACAGTACAGTCTGATGTAGAACCTTGTTAACATTCATAATTAACGATGAGTTGTATTTCCACAGTATTGTATCCCTGATGAGGGATTTTGTGGGAAGGTTTGCTTGAAGGGGCTTCCGACAGTGATAAATGAGGGCAACATCCATGGGAACATTCACACTGTTCCCATAAGCATGGAGGACAGAGTGGACTGAAGTCTGAATCACTTTTCGTGGATCAACTATCATTTTCCTGGGATTGAAAACTTCTTTCCTGTTAGGCTCCCTGTGAACATGGTCTAATATGTTAACACCTGGCACAGTATTCCAGGATGAGATGTTGAACATGGGAGTGGAGATGGATTCTGGGAAGATATGGTTCTCAAAGAGGAAAACAGCAGTCCCTGGGTGCTGTTCCTGCAGGCTGCTCATCATGGTTTTCCAGTCTGGGTGCTTAAGGGGAAGAATTATTTCATCAGCATCAGTAAGAACCACAAACTTGCTCCTCTGCATATTACGGTATACACAGTCATTTAGAGCTGTGATTTGTCCATAATAGCCAATGTCTTTTCCATCCATAGAAAAGTGCCATTTAGAAGAAACCTGAAGGTGCGAGTTTATTGGCCAGGGAATTATCTCTACAGTTCCTTCTTCCATATATAACCTCAAGACTTTCTCCATCAGGTGGCTGCAGTTGTTCTTGTAGATCACCACTTTCTGTACCCCAAGAATCTTGTACATCTCCATGCTCTGTATAAACTGCAAGACGTTGTTGTAGTGGCCAAACATGGCAGAGATGCACACAGTGAAGTCAACAGGGAAGGGCTCAGGTTTGCGGTTTTTGATCTCAAAGCTTGGCAGCTGGTCAATATTTCCAAGTGGAGACTGGTGAATGGACACATGCGTTGGGTCACAGTTTTCAGGTTCCAAACAAACTATATCTGCTGCACCGTAAGGGAACCCAAATCTATCTGAGTGAACATCGATTGTTGCTTTTGATACATGGATCTTTCCATCGGGCTTACAGCAGAACCAGCAGAACAGTTCTTTTACATCTTCATGGTGAACAATCCCGATCACACGAGTGACTTTGCCTTCTCTGTTGTCAAAATATGGGGATATAATAAAAGTTCTGTTATCTGTTAATGGTGTTATAGCATCTTGAGCAGGTTTACCCCTACAAAGCTGGCCTGCTGGACTGACTGTTGTTGCCTGGGGGAAGATTTTTCTGGCGATGTTATTCTGTAGCTCAGGACCTTGCCAGTAGGAGATGAAAGCAGTTGCAAAAATAAGAATAGACGTGGCAACAGCACAAATACGTTTCTTTCCGCAGTGTATCATTGCTGAATTTCACGTTTTGGAACTTCACAGGTCTTTACACTCAGTTTTCTGTTCACTTTCTGTAAAACAAAACAAACACACGAACCCCCCACATTTTCAGTATTTTGCCAAAAAGAATAAATGTTTTGTATTCAACTGTATTTTCTTAAACACAATAGTTACTGTTTTGTTACTTCAGACTTTAGTATGAAAGCCTGGCTTTTCATACAGGTTTGGAATGCACTAAAAACTTTATTATATTTTACTCTACATTTGAGCCCAGTGCAACAGTTTTAGCTGGTTTAGTAAACGGTAATACAGTGTAATTTGAATCACTTTAAGGCCTGGAAGAAACTTTATGTTAGTGAAAGCCCACAATTTCTATCTTTTGGTATTGCAATAAGCTTGTGAGACTGTAGAGTTATCCTTTCCCTTCATCCTCCTAAACAAAGATGCTGCGAACAGAGATTCAAATTGCCTTTTCTTGTATTGTCACAGTCTCTCAGTTTCCTGATTGTCAAATCACAAAGAAAATGTTTTCAGAGCTTAGTAGGATTTTATGGTAGTCAATGTTACCTAGGAAAAGAGGTTTGAAATGAACCTTTTCAGTTGTTCAGGGGGCTGAGATTACCTTAAACGTAAACTGCTTTTGCCACTAAAGATGCTCAGACCACAGTCCTAAATCCACCGTTGTTTTCAGTACGACTCAAAGTGACTGAGGAAGGTAGAGATAATCACAGTATCCTGACAGAAACTTTTCTGGGGAGGATAATTTACTGCATAAGAGATGGGACAAATTTATGGAATGGTGAGATGAAACAAAGCACTAATAAAGTTCCTCATCATTAATTAATCCCTGTCACTTTTATTTACAGAAATACAGTGTTCAGTTGTTTGGGGTTTTTTGATATAGATGCTAACTGCAAACACCACTACATTGTTTTGGTGAAAAATGTTTTCCACTGACAGTCTTACCCCAGGCAGAAATGCACCTCAAAGACTTCCTGTTAAATCAGGCTTGGGAAACTTACATAAAATTGCATTTTTAAGATTTAAGGAATGTTAGAAAACCAGTATTCTCTTCCTGCAATAAAGACCTAATGTTAAAATCTACCCATGGCAAGTACTGCTTTCTCACCAGTATAAAAAGAGAGCAATTCCTGTAAATTCATCTGCACAGAAGTCTCCATGTTAGTTTTACATGTAAGTTACATAAGGCAGGAAGTTCACTCAAATGTTCCCTTGCATCTCATGTCTTTCTTGTATGTTAAACAATTTGTTTCAACTATGTGCAAGCAACCTTTTGATATTGTTTCTCTTCATGAATTTCGTCTGCATGTGTTTCCCAATTTGGACAATGCAAATTCATCCTAATAGCTTATTTTCAGACTAACGACAATGAGTAGTTTTAGCATGCCAAAAGCATTATGAAGCATTTGATCTGGGAAAAAAGTAAACTAGCATTCCTATTGGAAACCAGAGGCCTCCTAGGGCATGAATGATGACTGGGAGTAAAACTTTACAGACAGTTACTATAAAGAAACAAGCAAGTCCCTTTTACATAAAGTAGCCTATAAAAATGACAGAAGCACAGAGAGATCTATGTACCCTTTAAATAATCTAGTGTTTTCTCCCCAAAGACAGGCATGTCTGGAAACCTCCAGGGGTTGCTAACTTTCATCCATTTCTGTTTTTCACCTTGACCTGCTCAAAGGGAAGTACACGGATTTTCCAAGAAAGGGCATCATTTCCCAAATATGAAATATGATTTTGGGTTCAGGCTTGTGCCACTTCTTTTGGAATCCACAGGCTGAAAGGCTGCAACCACTACCTGATGTCCACTGAACTAGGGGACTAAAAATGCTGTTTCTGTTGTTCATTTAAAAAAATGCAGCATTTCAACTATTTTCAAAGCAATAATTTCTAAGCAGAATTATCCACTGTCATTCTGATAAAGGATTATACTTGTGAAGTTTTTAAGAGGTACTCATTGTACTGCTTTGTAGTGTTCTCTGTTCAAATGAATATATGTTAGCAAAACCTCACTTCATGTAAGATAATATTCCAAAGCTGGGCAAATGACTGCTGTTTCACTGTGTCTGATATCACTGTGGTCTCTGTTACTACATGAAATATTTGTGTGCTCTCAAACAGAAAAATATATTTCCTCTTTAAAAGAGAGTTTGAAAATACTTCAGCCTGTTCAGGTTAATACCACTTGCAGGACAGAGAAGAAACTGGAAGACAACTTTTTACTGCAAGGTATGTTATATCAACACAGTTCAAGAAACTTATTCACACAAAAAAAACCAACGAAAGCCTTGTTTTTAATATCTTGCTCTTACTGAAACTTTATAAATCTGACACCCATTTTGCCTGGAATAGTTAAATAACACCTCAACATTTTTCAGTTGTTATGTAAAGAGAAAACAATGGAGTTCGTGTTTGCTATGTGCAATCTTGGTATTTCAAACGCATAAAAACGTAAGAGGAATTAAACGACAGTGTATTTACTCACAGTTTCAAGCCTCTTCATCTAGCACTTCATGCTTTCCACTGGTCCAATTCTGCTTTATGCTTCCACTGAAATGAGACCTTGGAACTTTGCTCATTCCCCACCATCTGCTTCCTCTACAATTCTATTAGTACTTTTGTCAGCCTGTGGGGAAATCCCGCAACTTTGTTAGCTTCCTGTATACAGCAAATCAATTTGCTTTCTGTTCTGTTATTTTCTCACATAAGCAACTTTAATTAATACACATTTCAGCTGATGTTTATACTATCTCAGCCTCTCTATTGACTCAGAGAATGACAGATGACAATTTTTGGGCGTTTTCGGGTAAGCTTCCTCTGTTAAAATTCTTTCGCTTTCTAGTGACGCAAAATCAACAGAGCAATTGTGTGCACAGTTGTGAAACAAAAAAACCCCAACCTAGTATTTCATCACATCAACCTTATGTCTACCACAGAAGGTGTCTGAAACAGTAGGTGGATGTAGAATCATAGAATGGTTTGGGTTGGAAAGGACTTTAAAGCTCATCCAGTCCCAACCCCCTGCCATGGGCAGGGACACCTTCCACTAGGGCAGGTTGCTCCAAGCCCTGTCCAACCTGGCCTTGAACACTGAACAGGGGTAGGGCAGCCACACCTTCTGTGGGCACCCTGTGCCAGCATCTCAGCACTGTCACGGGGAAGAACTTCATTATAGCCAAGCTAAATCTCCCCTCTGTTACTTTAGAGACATTCTGCCTTGTCCTGTCACTCCATGCCTTTGTAAAATGTTCCTCTCCAGATGTCTGGTAGGCCTACCTTTATGTACTGGAAGGCTATTACATAATTTGAGTCAACACTTGATTGGCTGGTGGGGTTGTATTAATAACACGAACAGTAACTTAAATGGAAGTAGACATGAAGAACGGAATGATTTATTCTGGGGAAAAAACCTGGATTTGCCTACTTCACTAGCTGTTCAGAGAGAAAAAAACCTTCCTTCTTTTAACAGGAGTGCTTGGAATTTTTTATTTTAAATAACTTTTATTTCTATGCAAAGATACACATCTTCAGCAGTCTCAGATGGGAAAAGGGAAATTGCAGCAGTAGCTTGATTACAGCTGAAGTATTTTAAAGGGGAAATTCAAACTGTAGCCATTACTCAGCAGTGGTAATTCATGACTGAGGAACGATCTGGCATGGAGGGCAAGAAGGCTTAACTGTCAATTGGGTAATCTGTGTGGGAGCGGGGACTAGAAACAAAATGACTCCATCTAAGTGAAAAACTCCCTTGCCAATAAGAAATGCTGCAGTCACTGTCACATCATGTGTGTCCCAGCACTCACAAGATCAGTGCTCACACAAATGCACATACATGCAAATATGGCTCATGTTGTACCTTTGCAGACTCCTCATAGAACTGTTTATGGTGCTAGAATGTCCAATGCACTGTTCCCCTCTATAATTAAGCACAAATGTGCTTAATTCACCTCAAGGGGAACAATAAACATTCCCCAGCAATTTTTACTGTTATTTATGTTTACTTGTTTATCTACTATCCTGTGTCAGCACAGTTATGGCAAAATAAATAGATAAATATAAATCAACAGAATAAAGATGCAGTTTTCAAAAATCTTAGGAGTTCTTCAACATTGCCTGGGAATAAGACAACCAGAAAGAAGTGTCCACCCCAGCTCCTGTCTGAAGCGTAGCTGCTTGTGTAACATGGTTGTGCCCTTTAGGTAACATTGCCGTGCAATTGCAATGGCAATGTTAACAAGTCGTTATACACATGGTCTTTTTTTAAGTAAAACAAGGTAACAACAACTAAGCTAGCCTCAGGAATCCATCAGTTGCTTTGATACTAAGCAAAACTGTTTATTACGTGATTAATAGCCATTTCCCTTTGCCACAGTTCAATATTAGAAATTTTGATCCCTTTGGAGCCTATTTTGTCAGCAGAACCACTAGGACAACATTTTCAAACATGTATGTTGTTAAATTTCCTTGAATTCTAACACATATTATTATTTATCAAGTCCTTACAGGAACTATTTGAGAAAGGAGTCTGAATTTCAGCTTGCCTTCCACTTCAGAAGAAGTCAGCTCGGGGCAAGGGAGGGGAAGAATTAACCAGCACATCACTTTGCTGACTTGCTTATCTCTTATCGTAACACTGGTCCTACTGATATGAGCTGTCACATGAAGAACAACTGCTGCTTCACTCTTCTCAGAAAGCAGATGGAGAGCTCTGACCTGGATCATACCTTTCATTACAAAAGTTTCTCCAAGCCTGAAGAAGGTTGCCAGTAACTTATGCTATTATTATAACTGCAGGGAGTGTTATAAAAGTGCCATTTCATGATTTGCCTAGGTAGTGCTTCTGAGAGAGAAGGCTGTACGCATTACTCAAATGTGCACATTACTCAAAGTGCAATACACACTACTCAATACTCGGTGGGGCTGAGGCTGTCATTCTGGTCCCAGAGACTGTTCAGGTGCTAGATACACTGATTGGAATAGGGCAGTTTTAAGTGGCCTATGTATGAGTTCATGGAACCAATTTGCTAATTCCCGGGAAAAGGGGTGGACTTACAGTGTGTAGTAGTTAGCAGT